TGATTTTGACATATTTGAAATGTACATGATACTATCAATTTATACGTTTTTAAATCCTCTAAAAAGATATATTGGATAAAGCATTTTTCCCCGCTCACATTTATCAGTAAGTAGAAAATATGTTACTTGTAAGTGTAGATTCCATTACAATATTAAGAGAAATTATAAATTGTATATTGCAGCTAATAGCTTAGATTTAACTGGACAAAAAATTGACCTGAACAAATAATTTGGTGGATTTTTCTGTTCATTTTAAGAATAAATACCTTCCTTTTGAAATATCGTACACATTAGAACTAGATTAGAAAACTCTTATATAGAATTATGACCTTTCTGTCAAATATGGAGGAGGTAAAATAATAGCCATTATTTGTCTACTGAAATTACAAAAATTGTTAAATAAGTTAAGCCTTTCAAATTTATTTTATTGACAAATGAACATATTGAAATTAACTGGACACTTTAGTCCAGACAAGTCACATTTGATGCCATAAACATGTCCAAATTCACATGTTTTACCTACAATGGCCATTTCACGCATAGTTTTTGGTCAAACTATACATAAGCTGTACAGCTTAACCCCAAAAGATATTTTACACACATGGAGCTGGTTTTGATGTTCTGTACCAAACTTAAGAACTTTAACGTCCTAGCCTTGTACCCATATGTAAGACTAAATTCTAAAATATAAATTTCATATCCAACAGACTGACGTCTTATGCACACCCGAATGATGTTATTTGGTAGAATTATAACACTTTTTCATTTTCGAATTCAAGGTGCATAACAATTAAATTGCCTTTTCATTACTTCAATTTGTCTTTTCTACAAAATAAGATAAATAAAAACGGTCTAATTTGGTATGGTTTTTTTTTTTATCTGAAAAATGCATAATAAGTGATATGACCAATTTGTGAAATCTGTTACCTAAAACTTATTAATTTGTATTATGTATTATTTTATCGCACATACAAACTTTAAGTTTCAAAAGTCAATTGTGAAACAATCAAAGAAAACACTAATCGTCCAGTTTAAGAAGGATAAAAGACACAATCGATAAGAATGATGAATTGATATATTTTATATTTTATGACATAAGCGACAAGCAAACGACGGTTTTTAGGTTTTCAATTATAAATAAGACTCTTTTATCAGTCGTCATTTAATGGGAACTTTTATCACACTGTTTCGTCTAAATAAGTTCAACTCTTTTTTCAATTAACATGCCATTGTTTAACTAAATTTGCATAATTTCATTTTACAAAAAAGCAACTAACTAGATATCTGTGATATTTAAAAAGCATGTGACAGAGTCGAGTTCAACAATTTTGAAAGTTTTTTAAAATATATTTATTGTACATTTATCAAATGTTTGCTAAACACAAAGCCAGAGAAAGAGTATACTTCTCTATTGAAGTCGGAAAAACATTATCCTATATTTTAGGTAAAATACGTTTTGTGTGTCGATTTCAGCAGTTAATCCCCCTAAAAAAAACTTCGCTGATCTAAGAGATCTTGGGCTTCTGAGGGTTGTTACATATCAATTGATATAAGATTAAGTGTGTGATAATAGTTTAATAAAGGAAGGTAACCATCTGTTAATAAAATCACTTTAACAAAAACATATGTTTTCTTGCGTACAGCCTTAGGTATCAAAACTACTGAATTTTTGTTATGAGTCAATATTTTGAATAAAAAGAGGACATGCTTGAACTCTAAATTGATGCAAACAAAATTGTGTAGTCATTGTGTTCCAATTTTGCTGTCATTTGCATTATACAAATTACAATTTATAATGCAGGCATATGAATTTACATAATAAAGTTTAAATATGGTCAGTTTTGGTTGATGTGTTTAAATAATTTAGTTATACCAGCCTGCCTGAGGTATCAAAAGTACTGAATTTTCGTTACGAGTCAATATTGTAAATAAAAAGAGGACTCGCTGGCACTCAAAATTGATGCGGACAAAATGTTTGTAGACATTGTGTTCCAATATTGCTCTCATGAGTATTATACAATCCATCATGACTTAAAAAAAATTTACTGATTTATTATGCGGACATTTAAATTTACATAATAAAGTGCAAATATGGTCAGTTTGGTTGATGCGGTCAAATATTGTTGTTGTACGAGCCAGCTTGAGGTATCAAAACTACTGACTTTTCGTTACAATTCAATATTTTAAATAAAAAGAGGACATGCTGGCAATCTCAATTGATGCAGACAAAATTGTGTAGTCATTGTGTTCCAATATTGCTGTCATTTATATTACATAATCCATCCTGACATTAAAAAATACTGATTTATTATGCGGACATATAAATTTACATAATAAAGTCCAAATATGGTCAGTTTTGGTTGATGGAGTCAAATAATTTTGTTATACCAGCCAGCCTGAGATATCAAAACTATTTTTTTTTTGTGATGAGTCAATATTAAGAATAAAAAGAGGACACGCCGGCACTCTAAATTGATGCAGACAAAATTGGTAGTCATTGTGTTCCAATATTACTGTCATTTGTATTATACAAATCATCCTGACATAAAAAAAAATTACTGATTTATTATGCGGCCATATAAATGTACACAATAAAGTGCAAATGTGGTTAGTTGTGGTTGATGCGGTCAACTAATTTTGTTATACCAGCCTGCCTGAGGTATCAAAACTACTGAATGTTTGTTACGAGTCAATATTTTGAATACAAAGAGGACATGCTGCCACCCTTAATTGATGCAGACAAAATGTTGTAGTCATTGTGTTCCAATATTGCTGTCATTTGTATTATACAATCCATCCTGACTTGAAAAAAAAACCTTACTGATTGATTATGCGGGCATATAAATGTTACACAATTTTGTCCGAATCAATTTAGAGTGCCAGCATGTCCACTTTTTATTGAAAATATTGACTCGTAACAAAAATTCAGTAGTTTTGATTCCGCAGACTGGCTCGTATAACAAATTTTTTTTTGATTGCATCAACCAAAACAGACCTTATTATGTTCATTTATATGGCTGCATAATAAATCAGTAAGTTTTTTTTTATGTCAGGACGGATTGTTTAAACAACATGTTCAAATGACAGCATATTTACACACAATGACTACACAATTTTGTCCGCATCAAGTTAGAGTGCCAGCATGTCCTATTTTTGTTTAAAACATTGACGCGTCACAAAAAATCATTACTTTTACTATCTCAGTCTAGCTCGTACAGAAAAACTATTTGACTACATCATCCAACACTGACATGACTGACATGGCTGATTATATTTGTACTTTATAATGAAAAGTATGAGAATGTATCATCTTGGAATAGTAGAATGACTGACTGTTAGTATATAATGTCGTTTGATTGATTTTGTCAGTTGCTTAACGTCCACGGGCAAATATTTCATTCATGTTCAGAACAAGTATATTTTTTTCGGACGTCCCAGATATTATTTATAATCGGGTAAAGATGAATATGCGGAAATTGACGAGATGGTTCATAACTATACAACACCTTATATATCCGGACACTATACGATTTTCGTTTGAACATTTTTTCAAAAACATAATCGTAAATCCAAGGCAAACAAGGTGAATTACGATGAATAATCCATGTAATGCATATAACTGTATTTAGAAAGAGACTGTAAAAAATGGGGAACGAAGCAACGTAAACAGTGATTTTTATATTCCATCATATAAAAAATATTTGTCCAATGCGTTGGATAACCTTTCTATTCGCCTTCCAATTGAAAAAAAAAATCTTTCCCTTCTTTTATGATAGCTGCATGTATATATGTCGATCAACAAGTTTGAAGTTTTATAGCCATTATTTAATGTTTATAAGAATATAAAATGAAAAAAAAAGAAATTTTTAATGAGTATTTTATGTATACAGAAACACTATCGAGTATAGTAATTTGCTATACTTGGGGAAAAGAACAATACATAATGAAAGCTCAGGTCTAAAATGAAAGTCTTAAACACGGCAATCTGTCATAAGCAGACCTGTCCTGAGGTCTGGACAGTAGCAGACCTGTCCAAGGGCTGGTCTGGGGTAGACCTGTCCTCAGGTCTGGTCTGGGACAGACCTGTCCTCAGGACTGGTCAATAGCAGACTTGTCCACAGGTTTGCAGCAGTCTTAAAAAAGCAGACCTAGGTCTGGTCTATCACCGACGAAGTTAACTTCCTTGTCTCTTAAAATTTCGTAAGTTAACTTGGAAAGCAGTTAAAAAGTCTGCTCCAAGTTAACTTTTGTACAGGTTAGGACTGCACCCATCTGCACATGATGTCATAGGGAAACTCAATACGATGAGAGTTTTTCAAAAGAGACGGCCTCGATACCTCAAAGAAACAAACACATACTAAAGAAAAAGAAACTATAGTTATTAGCTAGCAGTCAAATCATTATGATAGTAATTTATGACATGTCTGAAAATAAATTTTGTAATGTTCTTTCAAAGAGAAAAGGAAACTATTAACAAATTATCCCTGTGATGCATTCAGTACTTTGCCATTCAATCTTTGCTTTTCAGATTAGTTGCTTTTTAGATAGTTCAGTGTTCAATGTTTTGCTTAGGAACATAGTAGTACTTACTTACTTTATCTTACATGACTCCAGATAAGATTTTTGATACTTTTGAACATATCTAAAATAAATTAAACGATATGTTGGGTATGTTGGGTATACGTCAATGAGACATAAATCAAACGAGAAAATAACAAAAAGATATGTACAAAGTATCAGACAGCATTCAACAATAAACACGTGGTAGGAATTAAGGCACCCATAGCGCATGAAAGTATATAGAATTCAATTGCTGCAAAAGCTAGCATTGACTCTTTGTGAACGATATTCAATAGCGATAACTGGAAAGGTTAAAAAAAAACATGTCAGCAATAAGATAGAATACGAAATAAGCTTCGCTGATCGAGCATTTTTTTTTCTAACTCACATTTTAAAATCTTAACTCTAATAAATAACAATTGTTACACATCATATTGCAGATGTCTATGTCGATGAAAGGGAAAGCCTTAGAAAGTCACATATAAGTATGATAAAAGAGCGATCTGGTAAACCAGGTAATGTACTATATCATAATTACTGATTTACAGGGTTATCGTTTGAGTTGAATATAACTAACCTGGCTTACAACAAGAACATACATATCGAGAGGTATTCATACGATATCAAACAATGTAGAGTATGCTTTCATTATATTGCAGCGAGTATCAGTATGATGTGCAGCTTTTTCAAAAACGATACTTTGATACAGAAGAAGTAGAAAACACATACTCAAGAAAATGAAATTAAGTCTTCAGCAGTCATTTTCACATTTTCATCATAATATTATATAAAATATTTGAAAACGTAAATGTTCCTTAAAAGTTAAAAATTACGTTGTCATAACTGTTTCCCCGTGATATATTCAGAACAGGTCGCTCTTATTAAATATTTGCTATGCAGTTGAGGATTTTTTTTCAGACAGTTCAGTGTTGAATGTTTTGCTTAGGAAAATAGAACTACGAACACTGAATTGATCGAACATGACTCTAGGCAAGATTGCTCAGTAATACTGAATATGTCTTATAGGATGAATTAAGAGATATCTTGGATATTGTTTGCTTTACGTCAATTAGACAGAAACTTAACTTAACTTATCTATGATGAGTTTATTTATTAACGTCAGAATAACCTTACGACATTTATATGGCATCATAAACAATTCAAAAATAGATACGTGGCAGGATTTGACGCGCCTATAGTGTCTCAAAGTAGGAGCAAGGGAAGTTGTACCAGAAGCTAAAAATTACCATTTGAAACGCGTGAGCGATACACAATAGTACAAGTAAAAACTGTTAAAGACATATAAGCCTTCAGATAGCATATGCAATACTCTTTATTAAGCTTCGGTGGTCGGGCTTCCTTGAAACTGATTGTTTAAATATTGTCTCTAATTAATAGCAAATCTTACACTTCCGATTGCATACGACTCTGTCGATGAAATTGAGAGCTTGAAAAATTCAGATACAAGTATGAAAAAAGAGAAATCTGGGCGATCAGATTATGTTCTATATCATAATTACTGATTTACAGGGTTATTGCATGAGTTAAATATAACTTACCTGGCTTACGACAAGAACATACATATCGAGAGGTCATCATACGATGTCAAACAATGTAGAGTATGCTTTCATTATATCGGAGCGAGTCTCAATATGATGTGCAGCTTTTTTAACGGCGACTACTTCGATACAAAATAGTAGACACTCAATACACAAGAAAATCTAACTAAGTATTCAGCAGTCATTTTCATCATAATATCATATGAATGTTTGAAAATTGAATTGTTCTTTAAAAGAGGAAAGTGACGTTTTCGCAACTTACCCCTGCATTCAGTACTTTGACAGTTCGCTCTCATTCAAGCTTTGCTTTTCCGTTTAGTTGCTTTTTAGACAGTTCAGTGTTCAATATTTTGCTTAGGAACATAGTAGTACTTACTTACTTTTTCTTACGTGACTCCACATAAGATTGTTGATAGATTTGAATATATCTAAAATAAATTAAACGACAGGTTGGGTATATTGGGTATACGTCAATTATACATAAACCAAACGAGAAAATAACATAAAGATATTTAGAAGGTATCAGATATCATTTAACAATAAACACGTGGTAGGAATTAAGGCGCCCGTAGCGCATGAAGGTATATCGAATTCAAGTGCTGCAAATGCTTACATTGACCCTTTGTGAACGATATTCAATAGCGATAACTGAAAAGATTAAAAAAAAAACATGTCATCAATTATAGAAAATATGAAATAAGCTTCGCTGATCGAGCATTTGTTTCTTACTCACATTTTAAAATCTTAACTCTAATAGATAACAAACGTTACACATCATATTGCAGATGTATATGTCGATGAAAAGAAAAGCCCTAGAAAGTCACACAGAAGTATGATAAAAGAGCGATCTGGTAAACCAGGTAATGTACTATATCATAATTACTGATTTACAGGGTTATCGTTTGAGTTGAATATAACTAACCTGGCTTACAACAAGAACATACATATCGAGAGGTATTCATACGATGTCAAACAATGCAGAGTATGCTTTCATTATATTGCAGCGAGTATCAATATGATGTGCAGCTTTTTCAAATACGATACTTTGATACAAAAAAGTAGAAAACACATATACAAGAAAATGAAATTAAGTCTTCAGCAGTCATTTTCACATTTTCATCATAATATCATATGAAATACTTGAAGACGTACATGTTCCTTAAAAGCAAGATTGCTGAGTAATACTGAATATGTCTTATAATGAATTAAAAGATATCTTGGATATAGTTTGCTTTACGTCAATTAGACAGAAATCTAACGTCAGAATAACCTTACGACATTTATATGGCATCATAAACTATTCAAAAAGAGATACGTGACAGGGTTTGAAGCGCCTATAGTGTATCAAAGTAGGAGTAAGTGAAGTTGTGCAAAAAAGCTAAAATTGACCATTTGAAATGTGTGAGCGATACACAATAGTACAAGTGAAAAATGTTAAAGACATATAAGCCATCAGATAGCATATGCAATGCTCTTTAACAAGCTTCGGTGGTCGGGCATTTCCTGAAACTGATTGTTTAAAATATTGTCTCTAATTAATAGCAAATCTTACACTTCCGATTGCAGATGACTCTGTCGATGACATTGAGACCTTGAAAAATTCAGATACTAGTATGAAAAAAGAGAAATCTGAGCGAGCAGGTAATGTGCTATATCAGAATTAATTAATTAAAGGTGTAAAAGTTTAAGATCAATAAAAAAAATCTGGTTTTAAACAAACAAATAAGCCTCAGGAAGTCATCATACGATTTAAACAAAAAGTAAATGCTTTCATTATATCGCACATACACAACAAACATGAAATTAGTTTTTAGCATTGATTTTTTTCCTAGTATGATATAAAATGTCTAGAAATAGAAATGTTCTTTAAAAAAGTAACGTTATTTTTTTACAATTATCCTGTGATACAATCAGTAGTTTGATAGATCACTCTTATTCAATCTTTCATACAATTAAGTGTGAATGTTTTGCATAGAAAGATAGTACTACGAACACTGGATTGATAATAAATGGCTCCGGATAGAATTTCTGAATAACACTGAAAATGTCTAAACATTAATTATAAGATATGCTGGATTTACGTTAAAGATACAGCACCTCATCGACAAAATGATTTAAAGACATTGACATTACATCTTAAAGCCTTTAACAAAAGACAAGTGGCATTGTTTAAAGAGCTCTATGTGTATTAAAGTATGTGAAAGTTAAGGTTCGGAACATGAGAACAATATGCATGTACAATAGTAAAAACGGAAAACAGTTAAAGATATATCTCCAATCAGATAAAATATAACATTCACCTAAGGTGGGTATGGGAGAATAAACAAAAATAGAATTGTTTAATACTAAAATGTAGTATATATTGTGATAAAAAATATGATAAAAATGATAGGTCACTGAGCTTTTTTTCAAGCTACAGCTTGTGAGAAAATGACATATTTTGTATAGACTATACAGAGAAAAAGCCTCATAATATGAAAAATGAGAAGATAGCTTTTATGAATTACGTTCAGGATACCAAACGAAAAAAATGGGATCACCGTACGTTTTTTCTGCTATACGATAAAATAGAAAATTCCTTTGTAAGTTATTATTTAGCTGAGTTACCTCTCCTCAAAGCACAGAGTTTAAAAACAAATATAATAAAGCAAAGATATTCTACATTTGTAAACAAAATATGAGTGATAATAACTAGGGATGTCAACTCGGTGAACAATTACTAATCGAGTACTCGCTAGTTTTATCGAGCGATTCTCGAGTACTCGCTCGGTTATATATCTACAAAACGGAAACACAAAAATACGTATTATACATTCTGTGGTTTGTTGTTCAACGGAAGAAAAACCATCTACATAAGCTTGTGGGACAAGGAGTAGTTACACACCATTTTTAACAGTTCATTACCAACAAATACTAATTACGTGAAAAACAAATCTAATCAATATAATTAAGTTAACACCTATTTAAAATTATGACAAGGAATAACCATATCGAACAATAGTATTTGGTAATCGTTAATGAAACATACTTAATGTTTACAAAGGTGTAATGATTAGAAGTTTAACTATTCACTGAGGGTCACCAGAGGATGCAACAAATTTGTTTTATTTGGAAACAGTTTTTTGTGAACTATTATTGGTGTCAGTCAGTTTTGCAACTTTGTAAATTACAGTCTTGCAAACGAACATATTTGCTCTGATGATACCGATGTGATAGAATGGCGAAGACACTTTTAGTTGAAAGTGTTAGCCTATGTAAAACCCACGTATTTACGGAGGCATTTTAAATGACAATTTAGCACAATCATTCGAGACAACATGCATTTTATTTAACAGTATGATTAATCAGTGATTAAATTTCCGAAAGAGGTTCTCAATAATATCAATTTTATATAAAGAAGAGCAATATTCTAACAGGAAACCGATTAGTCGAGTATCGATTTGATGTTCGATACTAGGTACTACCAAGCGATACTCGAATATTCGAGTACTCGTTGACATCCATAATAATAACATAAGATCACATTAATTTGTTCTTTTAAAATGATTTCTTGTTAGTAAATAACATTGCTGCATCGAAATTTGTTGACCTGAATATATTCTAGACCTATTGTGTTCTGCTATTTTACAACCAAAGAAGGCGAAAGACAACCATACCACCTTAGGCAAGCTTCAGTGATCGTGAATTGCCTCTTTTTAAAATCTTCCAATATGGACTGTGAAAGTGCAGTGCTGCAAAAACTTACGTTAACCCTTTTAAACATGTCCGAAATAAACAACAGTAATACATGATAACAGTAAAAGACATGTAAACAATCAGATAACATTCACTTAAGCAAGCTTCGGTGATCGGGTATATCCTCAAAACTGACATTTCAAAATTATGACTACAATAAATAACTAATGTTACACTTCCTATTACAGTTTGCTCTATTGAAAAAAGGGAGAGCTTAAAAAAGCCAAAGCTTCATATGAAAAAAGTCAGAACTGAGCGATCAGGTAATGTGCTATATTTGTATTACTAGATTACAGGGTTTATCAATTCAATTGAAAACAACACAACTAGGCTTACAACAAGGAAATACATATCTAGAGGTCATCATACAATGTCAAACAGTGTAGAGTACGCTAACATTATATCGCAGCAGGTCTTAATATCTTATGAGGCAATACAGATTACATCCATACAACAAAGACGAAAACACATACACAAGAAAATGAAATAAGGTCTTTAGCAGTCATTTTCATCATAATATAATTTGAAATATTTGAAAATGTTGATGTTCTTCAAAAGAGGAAAGTTACGTTTTCACAACTTATACCCGTAATATATTCAGTACTTGACAGTTCGCTTTAATTCAATCTTTGCTATGCCATTCAGGTTTTGTTTTCATACACAAGAAATATGAAATTTATTTTTCAGCATTTATTTTCATCATAGTATCATATAAAATGTCTGAACATAGAAATGCTCTTTCAAAAAGTAACGTTATTAGTATCCTGTGATACAATCAGTACTTTGATATTTCACTCTTATTGAATCTTTGCTATTCAGTTCAGGTTCTTTTCAAACAATTCAGTGTCTAATGTTTTGCATACACAAATATTACTACGAACACCAAATTGATGATACATAGCTCCGGATAAAATTTCTGAAAAAAACTGAATATGCCTAAAAATTAGTTTAAGCATATGCTAGATATACGTGATTGAGACAGCATTATATCGACATAATAACTTACAGACTTTTACAGGGCATCTTAACGCCTTCAACAATAGATACGTGAGATGGTTTAAAGCGCCCAAAGTGTGTAAACATATAACTGGTTCAGTTCAAAATAGATTAACAAAATTCAGGTTTTATGTTCAATTGTTTATCTCAAAATCATTGTACTATATTCTGGTGGACTTCAAGTATTGTAAATAGATTCTTTGTAGTTAAAATCATCATTAAATCTGCTTATAAGTAAATCCGAAATCGGCAGTTGAATCCTTTAAGAAGTTATGGCATTTAAACAAGATTTTGTTTCTAAATATATCTTTGGACACAGATGGCTTGTTAAAGAAATTGAAAAGGCGGAAGAACTCCGTTGGGTTTGCAGAAGAGTCTGTCGATGGAATTGAGATCTTGAAAACATCAGATACTAGTATGAAAAAAGAGAAATCTGAGCAAGCAGGTAATAAACTATGTCATAATTCACGGTGGGTAAGGTTGTCCTGCGAGAGAACGTCCTATGCTGGTGATTCGGTCCTGACTGGTGCTGGTGGGTCCTGATTCTGTGCTGGTGGGTCCTGATTCTGTGCTGGTGGGTTTGTTTACATTGTACCAGAACGGCAATAAAACAACCGTTCTGTTGCTTAATTTTTCTCTGATACTTCCTAAGTACCATGCGAGGAATGTTACAACGATTTTTTATTGAAAAAGTCGTGCAAATTCGCCAAACAAAATTGTCCTGACGATGTGCTGGTGATTAGAAAAACGGTCCTGGTTCTGTGCACCTATGTCCTAGTTCTGTGCCTTTATATTTTAGTTAAAAGTTGCAAATATTCAAGATCATTGATGCAGAAAATTTGTATAATTGATAGAAAATATACCTAGCATATATTTGGTGGATATTTCATATGAGCCAAGTTGAGTCTGTTTTTTTTTATTTGATTTTTGAGAGGGGGTGCAAGATCTTTCTGTTGAGATGTTTTGGCATTTTAAAACTTTTGTTAACTGTTATTTTGAAGATATATGTGCTGTTAACTGTTATTGACTAATTAGCTGTTATCTGTTTTCTTAAAATTGACATTGTTGTGAACTGTTATTATGAAAAAAAAATACCCCTGTTTACTGTTTTTTGATTTTTGAATTCACTGTTTTCTCATCAAAGATGATTTAAAATGCTGTTATCGGTTATCAATATTTTAAATTTACTGTAATCTGATTTTAACAAAATAAAAAAAAATATTGACCTGTTAATTGAACCCCTCTTGCCCCCTTTTGAGATAAGAAAATATGCATACGATTTGCGGGATTACGATCCTTTTGCATGACCATCAAAATACGGTGTAAAATATCCAATACCTATATAAAAAAGATTATCTGGTATGTTTGCCAATAGACAAATTTCCATCAGAAACCAAATGAGCTAGGTGTTAACAACCATACGTCACCGTACGACCTTCAACAATGACCCGAAAAATCAAAATGTAAAAGGTTTTGCCTAAAAATGGAGAGCATAAATATAGAATAAAGGACTTTTATTCTAATAAAATTGAGAATGGAAATGGGGAATGTGTCAGAGACAACAACCCGATCAAAGAGCAGAAAACAGCCGACGGACACCAATGGGTCTTCAACACAGCGAGAAAATCCCGCACCCGGAGGCGGGCTTCAGCTGGTCCCTAAATAAAATGTGTACCACTTCAATGAAAATGGACGTCACACTAAACTCCATAGCATATAAATGAACTAAAATTAAAAAACATACAAGACTAACAAAGGCAAGAGGCTCCTGACTTGGGACAGGCGCAAAAATGCGGCGGGGTTAAACATGCTTCGTGAGATCTCAACCCTCCCCCTATACCTCTAGCCAATGTAGAATAAACAAACACACAGCAATACGCACAGTAAAACTCAGTGTAAAAGAAGTCCGAGTCCGTATCAGAATAGGTAACTAAAGAAACTAAGCAAAATGACAATGATACATACATTAACAAGGGACTACAAACAGTTACTCCCATGCCAGCTCCAGACCTCAATTAAACTGATTGAAAGATTATGTCTTCATCATATAAAAATCAAGCACAACCTAAGTTGTTCACGGCAAACTATCAGGTGAGTCTGAACATTTCTTAGATGAGTTTAGATAATACATTCAGTGTAGCCTAAGCATCCTGAATATTGTTTCTCTGACAAATTTGTACGATACTGTATATACTTTTCTTTTTATTCAAGCAAATGAATCTCAGCCTTGGTTCTGCGCGTAAGAATCATGTGTCCTCAGCAGCTAAAATCACATTTCTTTGTAACAATTTAGAGTTTACTAAAAGGATGACAATAATATTGCGGGTTTTTTTTTTGGAATAAGGAAGAGGGAGGTCACGGTGAAAGTTTTAAAGCTTGAAATCGTTTTGAAATTCTAAAATTGTTGATAAAAAATAATTTGATGCAGATGATCAAGATTGATTTTATAACTGCAGTTGATAATTTTACCATAAAAACATTTTCCAAGAGGGGAAGGGGGGTTCCCGTAAGATTTAAAAGTTGTACTTTAAAAGAAAAATGTATCTATTAGCTATTTAGCATCATTTGCTGTACCTTTAAGCCTCTGGTCAACATAAAATTATTGTCTGATCGGTTGTCAGTGGGAATTTTCGAAAGTTCAATAAAACATTAAAAAAAATATTTAAATATTTCATGGAAGGGCAGACTAGAATTTGTCAAAAATGAAGACTAGATACCCTAGATAACACACACAAAAATAAGTGCATTTTAAAGATCCAAAAGTAAAGTCTGTTGTCAAGGATTTTTTATAAAGAATTAAGGGGGAGTAAGTGAACGATGTGTCCTAATTTTCTATTTTTAAATATATTTCCTGAATAAAAATAAAATATGCCTAAATTTTAATTGAAAATGAGTGAAAAATGAGTGAACGAAAAAAAAAAAAAATACCAGACTAAGAAATACACTTTTAGTTAAATATTTGTAATAGCCCGAAGCTTTTAATTTTTGTGTTTCAAACACACCTTCTCTGTGGTAATGACTCGTTACAAAGGTATTTCACTTCATCCATTTATACTGTGAATTCTCAGTATTATTATATTAACATGTAGCTTAATATAAAGAAAAAATCGAATCTAAAGCCAGATATATCAAACATTTTATTTTTATTTTATACGTTTTCAGGAAACAACAACTCAAACACGCCTTGAACGTAAAATGTGTACTCGACTGTCTCTTTACGATAAGATAATTGCCCATTTTTAGACACCCCCCGCCCCACCCCCCCAAAAAAAAAAATAACTGTTGCCGGGGGCAGAGATGCAAATTAATGCTTTTTAAGATCAATATTTTATCTTTTCGTGCATGTTTTTTTATTAGTTAAATTTATTAGTTAAATTTATGCTGATGCATCTTAAAAACCCAGAAGTATTTGCACCTACCGAAATCGGCTGTTTTGTTAAATGTGCAAAAATTACAATATCTCGTAGCTTCATATTGACAATTGAGTATAAACAAGTATATAAGATGCAAAAAATCTTAAATTATACACTTACATCTAACTTTTAAAAGCCATAAAAACAGTTTTAAACAATCCAAATATACAAACTTTACAAAACTTGGTTTAATTTCAACTGGTTATCAACCCGTTTCGCTCTAAGCTCATCTGTATCAAGGGGCCGTGTGAGCTATTGACTTGGCGTCCGTAATTAAAAAAAAATCTTCTCTGAAATTGCTTGACCAAATGTTACCAAATGAATTTTCCTGAGTTAATCTAGGAAAAACAATATTCATCAACAAACATGACCACTGTTTGTTAAAATATATTCGAGTTTTTAGTTTATATCGCAAAAGTTCAAGCAGTTAGCATGGTTAGATCAAAACTTACCGAGTAAAAATATTCAACAGGCCAATGTCTATCTACCTTGCACTTTTCAGAAAATTCAGGTCAGATACCGAAACTTGGTCCAGCAACATTCATCAGCAATACAAGATTTTGACCCACACAGTTTCCATTCAATACAAATATTCTTGTTCCAATGAATCATTTTAAATGCAAAAATACCAGTTGCAGCCTTTACTTTGTTTATTTATATATGTGTATAGATTATCGGGTTTTCTACACATTGATATCGTAAAATATCAACCGCGAGCCACAATGTGAACCTTTTCGGCGAGTGAGCGCAGCAAACGAGAGAAAAGGCTTCACATTGTGTCGAGCGGCAGATATTTTACGATATCTATACGAAGAAAACCCGATTATCTGTTTTTTACGCTTGACGAAAGCAAGCTTGATAACGTCTCCACTCACATTGTGACGTCGCTGATAACTTCTCCTCAGATATTGTGACGTCGCTGATTATGCCTGGTCTCGTCTCAAAGCCGTGAAACGAGAATTACGGAGCGACTGAGCAGTGTGATATAGTCGTAGGGAAGGACGATAAATATGAATATATGAAGGGAAGCAGGGTCACCAGGGTGTGAAATCCATGTCATCTGAAATAAATACTATGCATAGATCTAGAAATCGACAGATAATAATGACATCTAAAAAAAATACTTTCTTGTATCTTGACACACAAAATGAATATAGTATTGTGGAATTTTTTAACTTAAAATGTTCGATACATTGGTAACACCGGTTAATAGGATAATAATCCTGTCACGTATGAATTGGGTAAAAAGATGGAAATGTGAAAGTTTACGGGCGGTAGGTGCAACAGGATACCGACAGCTCACATGGCTCGTCAGGATGGGAGCTAAAAAGTGGATCAAAGTCCATGAAAATTTGATTTAAAATCTTTATTCATTCCAACAAATTATTGAGATTTTGTTGATGATTTTACCATTTACGGCAACAAGAAAACTTTCAGAATTTAATGCAAAGAAGGTTTAAAGTCTTTCGCCAAAAATACTATCAATTCTTCTTATCCTATGTTAACCTCCATGCAATCTCCATCCCTTTGTGATCAATAAATTGAACTGTAAAATACTACTTAGTATCTTCCACATGCCTTTATGATGTCTGATGTATACATATTTATGACAATAACTGTTGTGAGCACAAGATTTACTGCACAGTTTTAAAGTTTTGCTAAAACAAAAATTAAAATGTAAACTTAAGTTTTGCGAAATTTGTTTGATGTGTACCGATTGAGATTTTAATCTAAGAGAACATGGTTTATCTATTAGTTGAAGTAGCTGCGAGAACTCGTGGTTCAATAATTTGTGTCTTTATGTTATTATTTTGTGTGCTAAGTGTTGTGTTGTTACACCACTGTACCAATGAAGGAGGAAAGGAGGAGTGGTTGGGTGGGGTGTGTAGCGCAAACAAACATGTTAAGCCCTGTCACGAGTGCCCAAAACCAGTGGTTGCCGATGCTTGCTATCTGTCATGTTTGTTTTTTGTTCAAAGTTGTATTTTATATCAGGCCGAAGGTCTTCATTTTTTAATCGTTTACCGTGATTTTTATAGCTAGTATTTGTTATGGTTTTTGCTCGTTGATGAAGGTCATACTTTGACTTGCAATTGTTCACATCTTGTTCCATTCTAGTAAGTTTTTATCAGTCATGTATGAAAAGCAAGTCTAGGTCGTTTTTTTTATCCAGTCGAAATGTATTGGAGACAGTGTATATATTAAGAAAGAAATTAGAGGCACCAATAGTAAGATCATCTAACCTCGTATATTTAACTGAAATAAACCAGTCAAACGTTTATTGTCGTTATAATATACATGTCGCTTAACCTTAAGCACCTTTTAAAACTGTTTTAGTTAGCATATTATGTAGAGAGTCATCACTTTAAGGGCATTTAATATCTTAAATAAAACTATTCTAATTAGATATATTTTCATCTGATATTGGACGGAAGATGTTGCCCTTTTATGTAATATAAGTTACGATTATTTGAAAACGCTTATTAAACAGCCAAATGGATGCACAATAGTAAAAATAGGAGTCACAAATCCGATTGAATACAATTATCTGCCCAATTTTATTGATTCTGTAACGTTTGTTTCAAATATAACCAACTGTTTACCCAAAATCACCAGCACCGTATCAGGACCCACCAGCACAATGACAGGACCCACCAGCACAGAATCAGGACATGTCTAAACTGAGAAAATGCACAATTTTAATAAATTGCACAGGTTTTTCACAAAATAATTTTGTCGTGTGGATTTGGGTATAGGAAGCGGACTCCAGGAGCATTTTTGTTTTATTTTTTCAGTTCTAGATTTTCTAAAAATGAGCACTTTTGTGTTACGCTTACTGAAACAGTTTAGAGGGTCACATTTGTAATTGTTTGCCTATGAACCCATAAGAAACAAAATTAAAACATCTCAACTGTTTCCTTCCATTTTTTATGCGAGAAAATTCGTCATTTTCGTCTTTGTTTACATATTTTTAATGATCACCAGCACCAGTAAGGACCGAATCACCAGCACAGAACGTTCTCTCGCAGGACAACCTTACCCATCGTGTAATTAATTAATTACAGGTGTAAAAGCTTTATTTGAATACAAAGAAACTTCGATTAAAATAAACAAATTAACCTCAGGAAGTCATCGTACGATTTAAACAAAAAGAAAACGCTTCTATTATATCGCACATACGCAGCAAACATGAAATTTAGTTTTTGCATTGCTTTTTATCCTAGTATGATATAAAATGTCTGAAAATAGAAATGTTCTTTTAAAAAGTAACGTTATTTGTTTACAAAGTATCCTGTGTTACAATCAGTACTTTGATAGTTCACTCTTATTCAATCTTTGCTATTCAGTTCATGTTCTCCTCACACAATTAAGTGCTAATGTTTTGAATAGAAAGATAAGACTACGAACACTGAATTGATAATAAATGGCTCCGGATAAAAACTCTGAATAACACTGAAAATGCCTAAACATTGATTATAATATATGCTGAATTTACGTGAAAGATACAGCACCCCAACGACAAAATGATTTATAGACATTGACGGGGCATCTTAAAGCCTTTAACAAAAGACACTTGGCATTGTTTAAAGAGCTCTATGTGTATTAAAGTATGTGAAAGTAAAGGTTTCCAAAAAGCTTACATCGACCCTTCGGAACATGAGAACAATATGCATATACAATAGTAAAAACAGAAAATAGTTAAAGATATATCAGCAATCAGATAAAATATAACATTCACTTAAAGTGATATGGAAGAATAAACAAAAATAGAATTGTTTCATATTTTGCCAAAATGTAGTATATATTATGATATGATCAAAAATATAAGTAAAATGATTGGCCACTGAACTTTTTTTCAGCTTTTAGTTAGATGTAAATATGACGAATATTGGGTGGTTGACAGCGTATATTTGATGATGTGTCTTGTGACCTACTTCATATTATTTCCACAAAAGTTAAACTTAAAATACCATTATAACACATGTTGATGAAAATGTAAAAAGGTAACAGCAATAGCATGAGAAAACTGCCTCGAACAAACAAAACTTTATAAACATATCCGATTTACTGTGCAAGTGTCTTCCACTGTCATACAAGTGGAATGTTTTACTAGCTATAGAACCATGTTAAACCCGCAATTTTCTATCATATCAGAAATATGCAGGTTGCTTTCCTTTCGTTCTGTTGGTTGATAAAGTCTCACATTTGATTTTGTTAGTTTTAATGGAACCCCTCCCCCCCCCCTTTTTAATTTACCTTGGAGTTTGATTTTTTTGTTATACACAGATTTGATCCGAAATGATTACGTGATGTCTTTTTAATGAAACATATACTATATTCATGTAAAGTCGTTTACCGCTGTTCAAAAGTAATAAATCGATTAGGCGAAAACTAATCCCGTTTACAAACTAAAATCAAGGAAAAAACAACAACTACATGAGGAAAACAACGGAAAAACAGAAACACTGAACTGCACTAAAAAAGAAAATCATTTTAAAAGCGCCAACAAACATAGAAAAGGACTATTTGATAACAACTGCTATATTCCTGACTTGGTACAGGACATTTTAAGAAAACAAAATGGTAGGTTGAACCTGGTTTTATGGCTATCCAAACCTCCCGCTTATATGGAAATGTTAAAAATACTGCTAAGATGACAACATTACGTGACTGGAATACAATACAAATAAACGCAATAACACGCAGGACAGAGAAAAACATACATAGATAATATAATAGTGCATAACAACATGTAAACCACAGAATAGCAATGGACACCTCCCATGAATTTACGACAGTACACCAGTACACCACAAACGAAGCATAAACTGCGTGTTACACGAATGTATCAAAGCCAGAAAAAGGTACGTTGTATAACAGCTTTTTTCAACATTTTAATGTCTTATTGTAGATCCCAAAAAGTGCATTTTACAGTGATATCATACACCAAAGGTAATGATATTTGAATCAATAAAATACAAGACTGACGGGAAATATTTTACTTGAATTTGTATCCAATTTTGCGTATTTATTCAATCGAGATAGCTGTTAGCAAATACAGATTTGTTCGTCCGATGTATTTATTTGGTTTAATGCACTCAAATTATTATATATAACAGCAGTTAATCACTCAAAAATCAAGGTATAATTATTATTTATGTATATATTATTATAAATGAATAGATGAAAAATGTATGTTTCATGTTTGGTATTGACCAGTTCACCAAACGAAGACCTTCCTCCAACTATATTTTGGTGAATTTGAATTAAGGGGGGTCCTATCATTTCATGTTGTGGTATAATGTGATTGGTCTTGCCACCAGTCTAGTTAGGATGCGTATTGTAAATTTACCGTCATTTGTATGAATTACATACCCCATTGAATGATAGTTTGTTTAACATATCGATGTTCGTCAAGTGCCTTTTCAATAAAGCGTAATTCCCCTTTTTCTCAAATCTAATGTTAACACTTGTCTATTATACACAGCTGCTATGTGATCTATTCTAAATTAGTAAAACTAACTTGAAACATTAAGAAATTAGAAAAAATAATACTAATTGATTGATTTTTAAAATCAATGTTTGATTAGTTGAAAACATTTTGCCAAATACATGTAACAGGCATTAAATTCCAAATAATATGAAACAACAACGTTTTGGTATTATCTTCTTCATATACGTCTTACGTTGTTTCTTTGAGAGAAATCACACTTTTATGCATAAGAGTACAGTTTATCTTATTAAAATCGCTGATCAAAGTTTTCATTCAATCTTTACTTTTCAAAACTTGTTAACATTGTTTCCTTGCTATTTTAGAGAGAAAAAAATCAGAAGTCAAATGGCGATAAGCAGTGATACAGGAGGACTCTAGACAAAATGTACAGAAATTCTTTTTAATAGAACTAACTTATATAATGTCATCCTGTCAGATGACAGCTATGACTGTTGTTTTAAATGTAATAAAAACGCATTGTTCATGTGCTTAGATTTATAACACTCTACACAGATATCCATGCACATAGTATTCCATCTTATTACTGGTTTATTAATTTTTAACATATAAAGAATATAATTATATAGAGACAGATAATATTAACTTTATCAAGGACAGACATGGGATAATCATAATCAGCACTGACTACGAGTGCTGATTATGATTATCCAATGTCTGTAATCGATTACATTTTGTAATGTTATCACATGTAATCAGTAATTATGCAATTTCTGATTACATGTAGTCGTAATTTGATCGATTACAATGTAACAAAGGGTGTAATCATGTTAACTTTTAGATAACATTCAAATTTTGTATATGGAAATAGTTTTTGATATACTAGAATGAACATACATTATCAATCTAGTATTTACTATGATTGATTATATCTTCTATATAACAAGTTTAGTATAAACCAGCTTTGGCATATAAAGTGAAAATGTATGATTTATTTTGTAAACAGTTCAGTAAATGAATTTACAGTCCAAATGTTTCCTTGTGAGATTGATTCCTTGTAACACAAGAATATGCTTTGAAAACATTTTGTTTTCCCTAATGTAATACTTCTGATATTAACTTAAATTTTAGTTTGTAATAACTAAATCATATAAATGGAGAGTCAATAGCATGGAACACAAATTTGGGGAATTTGAATCCAACTTTGACTTTAATTATCGACATAAATTAGCCAACTTAGATAAAAATGGAATTTAGAACCAGATTCGTTTTTCACAATTTGTATAAATTTTGTTTCCCATAAACATTTTTATATGTGCTTTTTAGGCATATCAGGTATTGAAATTTGCAAAGAATAATGAAAATAAATTACTTGTAAATTAATAACTTAATGCAATTTAGACAATCAATTGTAATATATATGCTCTTCTGTTGTTTGTCCGAAAAAATAAGTACTGATTAACACTGTAAAATCATATGCATGACCTAATATACAGTCTACACCAAAGTCAGATTTCACATTTGTATTTAATAATAGTAATATGGAAATTGTTCCTTGTAATATTTATTTTTGGTAACTGTTAACAGAATTTTTGGATTACTATCGTAAAACAAAGGCAGTAGTTAAATTTGAAAGGAGGTCATCAGGTTGGTTAATAAGTAAATGTGGAGGTAATGGAGGTTTTCAATTTGAGACATTTACAAAACTTTTCGATACACTTGTTTTTTTCACTGCCATTTCATACGGTGCCTCAATTCGGGTCACTGAGATTTTTCTTTTATAAATGCTGTAAAAACCAAAGAGCAAAGAGATTATATATCGGTGTTTGAAAATACACCCTTAACGGCTTTATATAGAGATACGGGTTGGATGCCGAGTAATATAGTAAAAAAAAGTTTTCTTATTGGGAAATAAATGTTCTAAAGTAGATTTAAAAATTGGAACCATAGAGTCCATGTGAAATTTAAAGAAATGAATATGGAGTTTTTATGTAATACTGATATTACTATTGATAAAAAAATCAGTTAAACAGATTCAAAGAGGAGTTGAAAACTTTAATTGATTACTAATTGTTAAATTTATATTTTACACGACAGTATCATTTTCATGTTGTTGAATTTGCAAAACATAACCATAAAAGAAATTAAACATGGGAATTTTAATTTCTACTTGATTGTTGTGCTTAGTGAGAACTTTATAATTGTTTAAATTCTACCTTACGAGATGAATCGTACAGTTTAATGTTTGTGCTTTTTAAAATATTAACTTTATGAGATAACGTTTCGTAATTTTACAGGTATATGTCTAAGTAATATTTAGTGCTCAAATCAAATGTATCTGTTGTAAATGACATACTTGTTACTTATGTTACTTGAAATGAAATTATAGACGGTCCGAGTTGATTTATGGACGGTTCGGATTGACTTAATGACGGTACGAGATGTCTCTATGCCGAGTTCTCTCGAACCTGTGTTGTTGCGCCTATGAGAATATGTCGTAATAGAGATATTGTGATTGAATATAGATTGTGTGTTCATGAACAATGTAATGAAAATAATATTATTGAAGATAAGAAATATGTTTTACTGAACTGTCTTGTATATGCAGATTTTTTTAGCCATGCTAGCTCTTTAATTGTAATTTTGTGAATTTGTCTGATGATGATAAATTCAGGTTTTTATCAATTGATGAAATTGTATGTTATTTTTTTAGCCAACATCTATTAGGATGTGTTATTAAAACAACAAGTGTTTTTTTTTATAATTGTAGATAATTGTAAAAAGAAAACAAGAATGTTTTATAATTGTAGATAGTTGTGTGTTTTTAGAAATGATTTTTATAGTCTCTCATAACTCTTTTTTTATGTCAATATTGAGGTGATACTTTATTTAGGTATTTATATTGTCTAATCTTGACAATAAAACTACTTGATCATTAACTTTTCATTATTTATGTTATTTGTTCAGGTCTTTTTTTTTAATTGAAACATTTGCACTGGGCTAAAAAATTTATAAAAAACAATGTTATTTCTTTTACAGAGAAACAACACTTGTCTATGATATCAAATAATACACATGTTACACTGCCTTAAGTCCAAGTTCTTAATAACATCAAAATATTAAAGATACATGTAAAAAAAAACACAATTTTTCACAAAGTAGCTTTTTATGTAAGGATAAAAGAGTTTTTATATATTACAGAATATAATGTAATCCAAATTAAGTAATCATGATTACCTTAAACAAGAGTAATGTAACGTAATCAATGACATTTGAAATCAGGTGCAATTGTTATGTTATCGTTAACTTTAAATTAGCAAAGTTATTGTAATTCAATTGATTACATTTTAAAGTAATTGACCCCTTCCCTGATTAAGGAAGAATATGAAATAATTATACATATGCTGGAGATTATACAAGAAAATCATTAATATTCTATGTTCTTTGAAAAATTAAGTTTTTAACAGAAACTGTTAAATTATATGTCTATTGTAAAATTGAAGAAACTTATAATAAATTTAGCCAAATTAACATGAGGAAAATAACTTTGAACATGTTGAAACAAGGGAAACTTTTACTAGATTAAGGGTAAGCAACCATATTCTGAAGGGTTGGGTACAGAAATATAAAAAAAGAGAAAAACATTTATATCAGCATTGGTGTTTCAATAAAACAGTTGAGGAAGAGCATTTCTTAACTAAGTGTAAAAAAAAAAAAAGAAAACTTGAGACTATCAATTTTTACTGATAGTAACAATGTTCAAATATAGCTGATATAGATAACTGAAACATTATTTGTATGCCCATTATGTATATCAGTTGTGCAGTATGCAGTATTCTCTTTAATTACATATATGCCGTCAACCGCATCGAGTTATTGCAGTGCATTTAAATGCAAATAATACAAAACTTTGCTTTTTGATCCTGTTTACTGTAACCTTAACCTCTAGATATCAATTGATAAAAAATACTTAATATCCATTTAAGATAAATTTGATTCAATTCAGTTCAAAGGTTTAACTGTCTAAATCAATTATCTATAAATAAATGTCAAACAAAATAAAATAATCGACAGTTGTAATTCATTTTATAAATGGTAAATAAAAGGGGTCAATATCAAAATTATACAAGTCATTATAACTTCATTGAAATCCTCTTGTCTTCAATATACAGCTATTAATTAGATAAAAGTTTGGCCCATGAAGATCCTTTTCAGAATTATGTGCAGAGAAGGATAACTTGTTTTATGTCTAACAATAATTTATGCATCCCTTTGTCTCACAATGAGTAAGGGGAGACAAGCCTCCATCGTCTATCAATTGATTATTCTTAACGTTATACATAGTGTTAGTTTAGTGGACCCTCCGTCGGTTCACTAGTGAGTAAAATGCTCGTAGATGCATCATACGAAGTTATCTAGTGATAAGGGTTAGCAATCTAAGGAAAATGTAGAGTATTTCAATGCGACCATAATGATCGATCTTTATAAAAATGTACACACT